TGAATCGTAAACATTAACAATAACAGAGCTCGTGCCCTGTTTACAAAAACAGTTTACGTTTCACGGGTGTATTCAATTTGTTAAACTCTGTACACAACACTGAGCACGGGCTGACGATATTCATGTGATATTAGTGAGGGGGTTTGCTTTCGCACATTTCTACCCTGAATTTTCTGGATTATAGATGTAATGTTTTTCATTAATACTGTAGATTCCTTATTTTACGCGAGTACTTAATATCGCGAAATGGCCCAAGGGCGTCAAATCACGAGAACAGTAATACGCGAATGGATGATTTATCTAGAAATTTTACATACATTAAAGCACCATGAAAATAAAAGCGAGTAATTTTATTTCGCGAGTGGTGCTTATCGCGTAATTACGCGATAATTTATTCCTCGCGTATATTTAGGAATCTACAGTACACAACAAAATCTTCTTTTCTTAAATATTAAGGATAAAGATAAAATTTGTGAAAGTGCAAGGATGTGTTAATCAAACGCGTCCAGGAATTTGTAGTTCCAATAATTTCCAGGTAAAATAAGTTTTTAATTATATTTTCGTGTGAAATGCTATTGCAATATATAAGTCATGATATTATACAGAAAATTTGAGAAAATATTAACTTCAAATCTGTGTCTAAGCACCTTTAAGAACTCAATCACTTATAATACAGTCTTTTTAGTATCCCTCCTTCATTATTTTACTGGAGAAGCAATTGGGAACAGTTTTTAAATATCCTCTTCTAACAGACATAAATGTATCATATACCTTTTTTTACTTTCCAGATCATTCCACAATAAATTACTTATATCTGGTTATGGTTAATTATATTGTTAATGATCATAATTTGATAATGGGACACAAGAAGTTTATGTGTAGGAAATGGGACTTGTAAAATCAAATGCAAAACTGCCATTCAGTGCATCTAGGTCTATCTATCTACCACTGAGCTATTGGTAAACTACAGACTATAATCAAAAGTTGATTATTTCCAATTTGGATAAAATTTAATGATGCATTCTAACTTGTATATGTTTCCCATGGCAAAGTGGAAGGCAGTTATTTAGCAGTTTCTTAACCTTAACAGTTGAACCATCTTTAAGTTAGCAGTTTATAAGCAGTTTCTAAACCTTCTCTGCACTGCTTATGGCATGTTGGGCCCATAATAAACCTTTGAATAAAATAGGCAGTTTTCTCAGCCTTAACAGTTGTTAGGCAGTTTTACGCAGTTTGTTAGCAGTTCATAGGCAGTTCATAAACAGTTATTTTGGTAAGATTTTTCAGGACTAGTTGCTCCCTTCGATATAACTGTTTAGGTACTGCTTATTAAACTGTAAAGCTACTGTTTTTGTACTGCTTAATTAACTGTTAGACAACTGCTTAATATGTACTGATAATTAACTAGCTGTGAAGCAATCTCATTTTGAGGACATGCACATATTTCCTGAAAACTGTAATTTTTAACAAATATAATCCATTAATTGGGCCAATTTTAAATATACAATTTATATAACTCATAATACTAAAAATGTTAAAACAATCCACATTATGAAAATTAATTAATCCATGTACTTGTACGTAGGGACCTATATAATAACGGGATAGGTGACTCTCCCAAGTCTCACAATTTCTCATATTTTAGTTGCGGGATTTCGTAAGTCAATTTTGATCAAATATATCTCTAATGCTATCAAGTATTTTAGAATAAAACCTTACCTATCAAAAAAATTATTCAAGATTTGTTATTTTAACTGTTTATACTTCTTATCTTAGTAGTAATTATGTTTATTTCAAAATCAATGCATACCCTGATCGGTCGTATTTCCGAGAATTTGCCAATTTTGGTGGTTGTTTACTTAATAACTAAATTATCTAATACTGTATGCTTTAAAATTTATTAAAAACCCATCCCGATACACAAAAAGAACACTGATAACATTAATCAGAAAACAAACATTTTACTAGGAAAAAAAGTAGTTTGAAAAACTTGTAGTGTTGTGCGCGACGTTTTTGGTAAATATATATATAAACATGGCACTGAAGGAGTTGCTTATGCCATTTATATAGGTCCCTGTTGTAAGCTACATCAATAATTTCAATATCAATATAGATAAAAAAAAGTACATTCTTTTTCTAAAACATTAGTTGTGGTTAAATAAAAAAAGATTTTGCTTATTTTAGTTAAATGGAATTGAGTCAGTGATTCTTAAAAGGTGCAATGGAAATATATGAGACATACCATTGAAATATGATTCAAGCAGAACATATATATAATTGTTAATTACCTCTCTTATTAAGAACACATAAAATATAGTGTGCTACCAGATATTATATGTCTGCATCATAACTGTGGCCAGTAGGCCCCCTTTTCATGACTCTATTTCCTTTTGTCCAACTACACAACATGGCAGCCAAAATTCAATTTTGGCGGTCAGTTGTTTGGTTCCTGTTGTGTATATTTATTGATCATTGAGCGTAACATTGGAATTTATCTTGATCCCAATTAAATTGAATATTTACTGCCAAGGAAACTGCTTAAATACTGCTAACAAAACTGTTCTTTCCCCCAGTAGGGGTAAAGCTTAAACATACTGCTAAGGAAACTGCTTACTGCTTAGAAAACTGCTTATGAAAACTGTTTACTCCCCAGGCATTAGCAGTTATGAAACAACAGTAAAAATCAAACTGCCTGAAACTGCTTGAAAACTGCTTAAAATTCATAAAACTGCTAAAGTACTGCTTAATAACTGCCTATATAGGCAGTTCATTTTTCCATGGGTTTACCAGCTTTCTGATAATAATTACACAGTCAGATCCATGCATTTTTTCCCATTTTTTAATAGAAAGTATGTCTCAGCTTACTCTTCATTTGTATGTATCATTACCCTACAGACTGTATCATATCTAAAATTAGGGTGGTTGGCTGCATTTTCATTAAAATTACAGATATCATAACAAGAGGCCCATGGGCCACATCGCTCACCTGAGCACATTGGCTAGGCAAAAGCACAAATCAGTTCAGTATTGAAATGATTACTGGGGGGAGGGGGGGGGGGGGGCTTGAATTTTAAACTACCTGATGATGCTTCCATGTCATTATAACAAATGGCTTTGTTGTACTTGAGAAGTTTTTTTTTTAAATTTCCCATATATTCCTTTGTAAAAATTTGATCCCCCATTGTGGCTCCTCCCTATCCCAGGAGTCATCATTTGAACAAACTTGAATCTACACTACCTGAGGATGCTTCCATATCAATATGACTAAACATAGCTTTTCTGTTCTTGAAAAGAAATATATTTTCTATATGTTCTTGAGAAGAAATATTTTTTCTATATGTTCTTATGTAAAACTTTTGATCCCCCATTGTGGCCCCACCCTACCCCCTATGGTCATGATTTGAACAAACTTGAATCTACACTACCTGAGGATGCTTCCATATAAATATGACTCATCATGGCTTTGCTGTTCTTGAGAAGAAGATTTTTAAAGATTTTTCCTATATATTTCTATGTAAAACTTTGATCCTCAATTGTGGCCCTGCCCTACCCCTGGGGGTCATGATTTGAACAAATTTGAATCTACACTATCTGAGGATGCTTCCATATAATTACGACTCATCATGGCTTTGCTGTTCCTGAGAAGAAGATTTTTAAAGATTTTTCCTATATATTTCTATGTAAAAGTTTGATCCTCCATTGTGGCCCTGCCCTATGCCCGGGGGTCATGATTTGAACAAACTTGAATCTACACTACCTGAGGATGCTTCCATATAAATATGACTCATCATGGCTTTGCTGTTCTTGAGGAGAAGATTTTTAAAGATTTTTCCTATATATTTCTATGTAAAACTTCGATCATCCATTGTGGCCCCGCCCTACCCCCGGGGGTCATGATTTGAACAAACTTGAATCTACACTACCTGAGGATGCTTCCACATGTGTTTCATCTTTCCTGGCCCTGTGGTTCTTGAGAAGAAGACTTTTAAAAGATGCTATTAATTTCACTAATTCTTTATTATCTCCCCTTGAAAGAGGACGTGCCCCTTCATTTGAACAAACTTGAATCCCCTTCCCAAAGATACTTTGTGGCAAGTTTGGTTGAAATTGGCCCAGTGGTTCTTGAGAAGAAGTCGAAAATGTTAAAAGTTTACAGACAGACAGACGGACAGACAGCTAGACAGACGGACAGACAGATGGACGCCGGACAAAAAGTTATCAGAAAAGCTCACTTGAGCCTTCGGCTCAGGTGAGCTAAAAACTGCTCAGATACAAAGCTGACTCCAACAGTCTTTAAACAATGTTGCTATGCTGGAGGGGGTAGCTTCATTATTCAGTGGGTAATTGTGTTTTTTAACAAATGTTTCTCAACAAATCAGATTCAACTTATTTACATGAAAGTATATTATGTTATATTCACCTGTACATGACCTTCCAAGTGAACATAATGATTGATTGTATGTTGTTTTATCTCCCATTTGAGAATTTTTCACTCATATAGAGATGTCAGCATATACCAGTGAAGGGCTTAATTTAGACCTTTACTCAGCACTCAGGGCTATTGAACATTTAAGGATCTTTATCTTGGCAAGTCTGCCATGACACAGGGCCTGAATTTTTGAGTCTCATTTGAAAGACCCTCAACGTGCTGAAGGGCTTGGCAATGAAACAGTTGCTACATATTTTTTATCCACTTAGGTCAGTCATGGCTGGAGTTTGAACGAACAACCTTTCGATCATGAAGTGAGCACTCTTCTGACTTAGCTACTGTGACAGCTCCAGGTGAACATGAGAATTTATTTTTTCTACATTGGACACTGGTCAAGGAAGCCCAAGGCTAAACATTAACTAAAATATCTACTTGTCCACCAGATAAGTTGCAAACTTTACTTGTCCGAATTCATTCTTAACTCGTTCAACTCTGAACAGACATATATAAAAAATTGTAGAACTTTACTTTCAAAAACGAAGTTTATGAATAAGTGCATGTCATTTCTTACCTAGAGTAGGTTCTGTTGTCTCCTTTGATTGAACAATAGTTGTAGAATTTGTTGAGATTTCCTTGGCTGTAAAACATTCAAGTTTAGATTATTCAGTAAATGATTGTCTATATTACAATCTATGATAAGTTATTGATTCATGTAAGTATTTTTTTTTATAGATTAGGTCTTCATACAAAAGTTTTGCAAGTGTAAAAAGAAATATCTTTCAAATGCCTTTCATTATTTTTTTTCAAAAAAAAAAATCGAGTGATAACCCATATGCAATTTCTGTCAGTTTTTGTGTCAACTGAGCTAGCATTCAGCTTGCCCTTCAACAATTGTAAACAATGTACAAAGATTTCATGGTGGTTTACTTAACAAGTTTGTATCATTTCATCATTAAATTTCAAAATAAAACAATTATTGCTGGGGGGGTTTTTGTCAACCAAAATAATGATTAGGCTATACCCCTCAAAGTGCAATATTACTTCATCCTTTGGTCTCAGTGAATATATCATTGAATAATTCCAAGATTGCTGATTGACTGTGATGCAACATTATAGAAAAAAATACTATGCTATGTTCACCTGCATGTGACCTTCCAGGTAAATATTATACAATTATGGACTCTTTCAGTGGTGAATAGGGTTTGTTATTCACCAGAAAAATATCAATATTGATCGAGACGAAGCTGGTGAATAACAAACCATGTTCACCATTGAAAGAGTCATTAATTGTTTTATTTTATAGTCAGGATTTGAATAAATAAGACATTGAAGGTTGCATGATGAAACCATTTTCATTAACGAATCTCTGTCGTAGAAAATAAAAAAATGTCCAGATTACAACTTATAACTTCTGTGTTTTCTTTTTGCTGTGTATAAGACATTGAAATGTTTGGAAAATAACCCTGCGATAGACTTGCCTTACAATTTTACTGCTCTGATACAGAGCTGGCTCCAGCCGTTGAAACCATCGTTTTCAACATTGTTTGAGGTATTGCCTGTGACTTCCCAATGCGGCTGAATGCGCACTGACCCTCCAGTAAATACCGCATCAAGACCAGTGAATATGTACGAGGGGTGATCAAAAAGTTCGTGAACAAATTGAATTACTTCCTTAAAAGAAGTAAAATGAGGTTTCAGTGTTCATTATTTTTTAAAGTAGTCCTCTCCGATTTTAATGCACATCTGCCATTGTTCTGCCCATGCGCGAATCACATGATCCAGGCGGTCACGTGACATGCTCCATAGCGGTCTGTTCACAGAAGCTAAGAGATTTTTCTGAGTCTTATATTTTTTACCATGCAAGTTATTTTTTATAACAAGAACAGACCATCTGTCAGAAATGGCCAAATCTCGGTAATAGGATGAGTGGATAATGATATCCCTTCCCAGAATTAGCATGGTGACCATCACAACCAGAGTCCTTTGTCTTGGGAGCGTCGTTTATCCAATGTGGAAAAAGTATTGGTGCCTTCTTTTTTTCATATCTCATATGTTTAAAGTCTAAAGTAAATGATATTTTAGGGATTTAATAATCATATTATTGTTCAGATATTCAACTATTTTTCTAATTGCAACTTGGTGATCTTTCAAAACAAATTGCTAAACTAAGGACACATCCTTAAGGCTTTTACCGGCTTGCTTTCGCTGGGCAACAGAACAATTGTCAAACATCATTTTTAACCATCTCCCTGCCTTCATTAAAACAATCAATCCTATTAATGAATGAACTTCTGGTAAGTCTTTTGTCTTCATAAACCTTGTACAAACTATCATATTCTACTGCGAAGGAATTTCCGAGATATATGTTAAACTTTACGGCCGTTTGTTGCTCGAGTACAACTGAGTCAACCATTTTTTGTCACAAGTCACCTATATATTTACGTCATTTTCACATTGTGACGTCACAAACATGGAGCAAAACATTATATAACATCTGCTATTTATAGAACTTGTGTATGACTATATGTGTGCCACATTTCACTTTAATCTGAATTGTGGTTATGTAAATATAGAGATAGTTTGCGAACTTTTTGATCACCCCTCGTAGTATTATGAACTGTATGCATTTGTACAGATTATATTTGGACTATCTATAGACTATATAATAAAAGAATTAATTTCATTCTTTCTACACTGGACTAAAAATAGATTGAGAACTTCTAAATCGACACAATTACTAGTAGTTATTAAAATTTATTTCACCAGCAACAGCCTTTACTCATGTGAATATAACATTTGGACATGTAGTATTTGGGGTGGGGGTGGGGCTGTACTGTTAAGGATTCTTTCCCCATCCCCACCCACCCCTTTAAAGTGTGACCCTGATTATCTATAAATATTCAAGAATTAATCTTTAAATCTCATGCTGTAGATTTTTATTTGGTTTTCCTTGAAAAGATTTTTTTTTTATAAAATTCACACACACACATGTATATAATTATATATAGAGAGAGAGGGGGAGAGATAGAATACAAATACACAGTAAAAAAACATTGGTGATTTACTTTAAGGAAAGAAATAAATCAATTTATAAAACTTCATTTTTTTGTTGCTAGTCAGCCATTTAGTTAAAATTTTGTCCATCATAAATATTACAGACCCTGAAACGTGCTACTACCCCAAAAAAGCATGTGACTTTCCTGCACTTTTTGTTTCGTGCAAACCGTGTAGCGTTTCGTGTAAACCGTGCAGCGTTTCGTGCAAACCGTGTAGCGTTTCGTGTAAACCATGCAGCATTTTGTGTAAGCTCCAAAGCGTTTCGTGCAAACCCTGTAGCGAGCGTGCGAGAAACGTGTGAGAAACGTGTGACTTTCGTGTAAGAACTGTGTGAGAACCGTGCGACTTTCGTGCAAGAATCGTGTGAGAAACGTGTAGGATTCATTCGGAAGTCATTTTATTTTAAATAAGGCTGTTGAAGGATTAACATGTCATTCTGTGTTGTTTGTAACTAATATTATTCGGATATATCATACCGGTGGTATTTTAAGAAAAAAAAATACGGAAACAACAAAATAAAATTACTCGGTAATGTATTTCATATTTGTTTGATTTTCTTTCTTTTTTTTATTAAAATAAAGATGGAAAGAAAATGTGTTAAAAGTAATTAATTATATGCACATCAATGTTAAGGTATTTGATTCAATACATTTTTTAAAGGGAGCAATACTGAACATTTTTTTTTAAAGAAAATTCATCAGGAATCCGGTCTTGTCCTTATCATTCATTTATTAGAATCTCTTCATCATTTTACAATTACGGTATATAGAGATTACAAGAACATATGGGTGATTAATACAAAATCATAGATAGATAAGGCAGGCGTGAGAAATAAAACACAAAATTTAGTGCGTTACTATATATGTGGAGTACGGGAATTCTAGGCCGGGGAACACAATTAATTTTTTTCTTTATAAACGAACAAAATTTTCTTAAATGTATAATACATGTACAAGATTGTGATACAAATAATTTTGAAACGATGAGACGTTTATAGTCTTTTTATGCATGAAATTGGTTGATTAATAATTGTCATATAAAGGAATCATAATTCACATGTATCGGCATATAGGGTTAAATATTTCCGGGGGGGGGGGGGGGGGGGGGGGGTGTTCAAATGAAAACACAAACTTTGAGTTTTTGTTAACATGTTTTTATAAATAATTTTCTTTTTAAAGATGCCCGATGCACCCCTTAAAAATATATTTGAATCTTCTTTACACTTCCAACACTCTTCTTACGACTGTGATCAAGGTCATTTACAACAGCGATCACGGGCTCTGCATGCCGGGAACTGAAAATGTGTTCTGCTACATGTATTAGCTCTTGTCAATCATGGCTAAGATGACAACCGACAATAATTCATGAATTAAATTGTTTTATTAGTATTTAATGGGTACAAATGAATACCCGTGGATTTTATTTCTTAAATTTAACCGATTGTCTGTAAACAGTGAATTAATTTGCCAGTGTATTCGTGAATAAAAAATTATAAAGAAATAAATATATATTAGTTGTTTTATTAGTTGTTTTATTAATCACGCAGTTCTAGAGCATAATTTTTTAGTTTTTGGTCATTGGACATGTATACATGTATATTGAATGTATTGTTAAGAGCCGCAACTACTGATTATATATATATTTTTTAATTGTCTAGACGGGGTTTGAAATCAAGGATTTTACAAGGTGGTGGATATATTGTTTTTATTTGATAAACAAAATGCCTCAAAAGAGAACTAAAGAATTACAATACCTATCCCCCGGCTTCTCTACCATATAAAATTTTATGACAACTTAAAGTTCAACTCTGTAATGAAACGATATATTTACCATTCTGAATAAAGTGCATTTAATGAGTTACATGTATCGGGTCCCTCTGGAGATATGGATATCTTTTTTTCTCAAAAAGAGCATTTGTTTCTATAATATTTTTTCCCAATGGTATATACTTACTGAAACAAGTGTCCGTTATATTTAGCCAGGTACAGAAGTAAGATCTCGGTAATCTACCCCCCCCCTTTTCACGCACAATGTTCTTGTTTGATGCAGTGTACTTATTACCTTTGCAAATTATAAGCAGAACCTAATTTAATCAAATGAAATTATTTATGTACTAAATTAAAAATTGAATAAACCAATAATTAAAAAAAGAAAGGAAAAGAAAATCAATCCGTTTACAGAAAGCATACGCAATTTAATCTTTTTTTTTCAAATCAATAACTGAGTTTATTTGTCAGTAATAAAAACGACTTTTTAATATCAAACTAGAATTGTAAAAACATTGAATGCTGTAAAAGATTTTTTCAGTGCGTAATTTAGAGTCTAATGAAAAAAGTTTGTACATAGACGAATTCACCGGGCGGGTCACATACTCGATGACAACTATTAATTAATTACAACTGAACATTGAGTATTTTTTTCTGTTAATATAGTACTGGTGTAGCGAGGTTTAATCTTAACTTAATCAGAATGATTGCAATTCTTAACTAATCTTTGATTTATCCGTAATAATTTAAATAAAGTCAGAGAGATTCCGAATAGAAAACCCAGATCGTGGCCAAAGCGTGCGAGAATCGTGTACAAAGCGTTTGAGAAACGTGTACAAAGCGTTTCGTGCAGGCTTTCGTGTAAACCGTGCAGCCTTTCGTGCAAAGCGTTTCGTGCAAACCGTGTAGCGTTTCGTGTAAATCGTGCAGCGTTTCCTGCAAACCATGTAGAGAGCGTGTACCGTTCGTGCAGCGAGCGTGTGGGGTAGTAGCACGTTTCAGGGTCTGTACTATGTGTGCCCCATTCTGATTTAACAGTTGTGTACCCATATATGCATTATGATATACATGTTTGTGTTGGGTACAACTTGAGATAAGTCAGAAAGTTTTGTTTTGTTTTTTGTTTTTTTTCACTGAGGTACAAAAAAAGGAGGTTTTTCATAGATACTATGGAATCCTCATTGTTTGTTGGGGCACTTTGCGAGTCATTCTTACCAATGAACTTACATTCCTACAAACATTCCTACCATCTCAACTTACCAATATAAAGTCACTGAATCTTTGGATATATGAGTTACCAATGAAAATACAACCCCATGAACCAATAAAATTAGGTTGCCCATGAACATTGACCTCAACAAAATAAAAGGATTCAACAGTACCAGATATTTCCAATATATGGGTAATTTTGTCCTACCATGGGATCTGAACCTCTCATCCTGCAGAAAGTTTGCCTGCTACACTCATAAGAGTTAAGAAGAACATTTATAACATTTGATACATTTCCAATATAAGCGTATGGACTTTCATTTGGAGGCTGGATAATATTGGCTTTGATAGTTTTTTTTGTGACTGTGCATCAGAATTTTCTTACTTTCATTTTTAGGTTTAGATTGTCCACCCTCTTCTCCGTTTTTGGTCACAGTTTCATTACCATCTTTAGTTCGAGAATTCTGATTGCCATCAGTGTCAGGTGGTTTTTCAGTTTGTGTTATTTCTTTTCCATTTCTTCCTGCAGTAAAGTAATGCTATGTTATATTTACCTGTACATGACTTTTCGTGTGAACATAAGAATTTATTTTTTCTACATTGGACACTGGTCAATTTCCCTTACTGAAATTTCTGATAAGGGACTTATAAGTGATTTATTCTTTTACTTATAAGTTGTTTATACTGGACTTATACTTCACAGATACATTTAACTTATAAGTGACTCATTAGGATTTTATATGCAAATGAGGTGCTTGACCTATGATATGCAAGTATAGTCAAGTACGAGGGCCGTTCAAAAATTACGCGGACTCTGCTATTATTTACTCTTACAGACGTCATACAGAATTGAAATTTCACAGGAACATATTTCCTAAAGATTCCAATAAATTCTTGGTAAATTTTTTTGATTTTATTTAATATCTCATAAAATCATTGCTGTTTTATACTGCTGATGGTGATGTACGGAGCACGGCAAAAATGTTGAAAAACAAACATGCGGTATCCAAAATTTTATTCAGTTATTTTCCATATTTCACGATATTATTCAACAATTTTCTCTAAAATTTCTTTTTATTGTTTTATTATTAAGTCTTTAGACTTCTGGCGTAATATTTGAAGTATTAACAGAAATATTGATATTTTTCTCCGATGTGACCCCTACGAAATCAACTGCAAAAATGACTTCTCGTGATTTGACGGAGCAGCACACTTTTATCAAATCATGAATCATGCTGGAAAAACACCAGTAGAGACCCAAAATAATCCTAATTAAACATGTTGTAAACCAGCGGAATATCCGACACATCTCAACAAAATATAAAAAAGAATTTTAGACTGATAGACCTTAGCCAAAAGGCAATCCGGGAGGGATGGAAGAAGTTCATCGACAAAACACTGATCTGGACTGTTAAGAATGTAATTGAGATCGACTGACGTTAAACTTTACTTCAGAAATATCTGCAGTTTTGGGGTTTAACACAAACTAAACCACACAATAATAGTTTTATAGTTTTTAAGCTGAATCGGAAATGGTATATGGATGTTTATTCTGAGTGGATAAGGTAACCCAAACTATACAGTATCAAATACTAAGGGAAAATATTGAGAAAATGAAAACTCCCATTTTTTTAAACGCCCGTGACGTTGAAGGTTTTGCTGCGCCTTGACTTCATAAGATGTCCTGTTAAATCACTTGAAATTGATACATGTACCAATTTACAATATTTTGATATAAAATTTTGATGATCATGTATAAAAAGATTCTTTTATATTATTTATGACTTTTTGCTTGATTATGTTGTCAAATATATTTTCTGTGCAACAAGTCAGCGTAATTTTTGAACGGCCCTCGTATATATAGTCACTCATAAGTGACTTATAAGTCAAGTATTAGCCCTTCATACTTTATTAAGTATGAGTCACTTATAAGTTACTTATAAGTGAAGTACAGCACTGCCTTTAAGATCTTAATTTAGAACAGAACTTCCAATCATGCAGGGGTTGCATGATGTTCAAAGTTTTTTTTAAATATACATTATGCATCTGCACTTAAGATGAAATAATCAAGTTAACATTTTATGAAAAAAAAATCCCTCTCATATGACATTCTTTTATGATGCAAACTTTATATATTATTTCAGTTCACAAACTAAAAATGTTGGACAAAAAGAAATCAATTAAGATTTAATGACCTTGAGGATTCTTCAAAATTATGAAATCTGAAAGCAACTGAGTCAATTTATTCTAAATTTCAGGCAAAGGAAGTTAAAATAAAAAGATGATGTGAATAGAACCTACTTGTTGTACCTGATGTGAAGGCATACTAAAAATAAATTTGAAATCTCCAACAACATCCTTTCACAGAGACTAACTTAGTTTCAAATTCTTGTTGTTTATCTCTGCAGAGACAAAGTTTCTGATTGGTTGGTTAGCTTGAATACCCACAATGCAACTCAAGAGAAGTCTAGTATAATGTAAAAATTCTAAGTCCACTCTTATTCTGGCTAATACCATACCATAAGTATTAACAAAATCTGTTCCTCACTTATACTTACTTTGACTTATAGTACACTTACACGTAAATTTCAAAACTTATAGGTGACTTACAAGTTGCTTATAAGTGAAGTATAAAACACTTATATAAAACACTTATAAGTTTCTATTGTTTTTTTTCTGTAAGTTAGGTAGCCCAGGGCTCAACATTATCTAAAATATCCACTTGTCCATCAGACAAGTTGCTAATAAATGCTCATTTGCCCAGGATCTGTTCGTTCTAGAACTTGTTCGCCCAAGGTGTGTTCACCCTATTTTATAATAAATATGATAGTCAGATAATTTTTTTTTTAATTTTATTGATTTTCATGATTCTTATTGAGTAAAACTGAATAAATACTTTTGATAAAAAAATAAAAATAAAAAAATAAACAGCAGGGAGGGGCACTTTGAAAGGGCAGGCAGGTATGAGGATATAAAATTTAATTTTATCTGGCCTAATGCAAAAAAGTTTATTTCTTTTGATAGCAAATGAATAGACATATTACATATGAAAATACTTGATGAAAACTTCATGGTAAATGTTAACATTTTTATAAACAATTTGTTAATACATGTACATGTTTGTTAATACATGTACATGTATCTTCATTGTTTGTGAATGTCTTTAAATAATACATTTTATAAAAACATAAATGCCAAAATAACACAATAAAGCAGGATGAATCTCAATCATTACAATTTTATGAACTACTACATGTACATCACGGTTTATATACTAGCAGGTCCAGTACAATCAGTACATTTAGCTACGTAGCTTGAATTATACCTACATAGCTTACCTACTCGAAGTAGTTTTATTTACCTACTAGTTTACTAAATCATACCTATCCTACAGCACAACTGCAAAGATCTAAAAGTTTTGAGGCTATATGCAACAGTAAAGAGCAAGAGCCACGAACCATCAAAAATGGCCCTGTCTCAAAAAGTAACGGGGTTTTGTCAATTGATAGTGTAGACTTTTAGCTTTTCTTTGCCGTTTTTCTTTTTTCGATATCGATTATATTTTTTGAAAAAGAGAGTTTGAAGTATGACAGTGTTTTAAAAGAAAAATGCTAGTAGAACGTCATTTTTTGAAACGTAACGTCGTAGGGCGGAAAAATTACCTTGAGCGATTTTACATATGTGACTTTGAATTAAAACTAGTATTAATTGGGATAGATATTTATTATCTTACTAATAAACTTCATAATTAATTTAAGACAATTAAGGACAGTTGGAAATTGATTTCACATCGCAGTCTTGATGGCAACTGCATGTTTAACTGATTGAAATTTATAGATACATGTACAGTAAAAATAATCTGTGTGACTGTCTCGGAAAGTTTTCACTCTACCTGGTCCCTATGCTAATATAATTTTTAAGAAGGAACATTGTATTTCTATCCCTTGAACACATTTTTGTGTGATGCATCGCTCCTAATTACATGTAAGTATTGAGTATTGAACATCATTAAAAAAAAACATACGACTTGCTTCAAATGACGATAGCCTGTCCAATTAACTTAGTTTTCCGGACTTTTTCCTACACGCCTGCAAATATTAGCTGATCTTTGGAATGCGCGTCCAGGCACGAAGTTTGTTTTTCAAAGTGGGGAAGAGGGCAGTCAGAAAAAAAAATAACGAGATACCTGAAATGATCTTAAAACGAATGTTTCTAAACTGAAGAACTACAATGTAATTCAATAAATGGATAGAAGTAATTGCAAAAAAAAATTGTTTAAATGGAAATAGACTTTTAATGCGAAATTCTTAGATCCTTAACTTGCGAGTATTTTAACATATAAAAGTTCTAAATGATTTGGAAAAAGGGAGGAAGTAATAAGTTGGAAAGACTTGTTTCTAATCCCTTTATTCATTTGTAACAATATTTTGAACGTCGTTTTCGAAACAGAGACATAGATTAATTGAAAAGGGGTGTCGCAACTTATCAGAATGGTTTATTAAGCAAACAAAACTCATCAAAACATTGTCGCCCTAAATGTGAGTTTCTTTGGAATAATATGGAATACATTTCCAAAAAAATATTCTTAAGAAAGATAAACCTGTTAAAAATCACTAATTTAAGGCTAAAGCAGAAAATAAATCAGCCCTGTTCATTATTTTATACTTATCGATATTTGCTAGAACCCCCCCCCCCCCCTTCTCTTGCAAAATATTCGAATATTTCTCTCCCAAATATCTTAATTGCAAGGAATTTGTAAAGATAGAAATCTGCGAAAATTATATGATTATTTTTCATGTAAATGTACAAAATAATTAAACTTGAGCAACTATTCGTTTTTAGCATACATAACTATAGTGTAAAATTCCTACTTTCGATTTCATTGCACATAATGGTTTTTATGGTTTATAAAAAGAGTAGAGCTGCATTTATATTGCTGATATGTGCAGGCCCGTAGGAAGCAAATTCATTTGGGGGGGGGGGGGGGGGGGTCAGCCATACATTTTCAGTTGACAGTTGAGGAGGCACTACCAAAAATTTCCTGACAAGCAACAAAAAAAAAAAAAGGTCATCAGACGTTTTTATTGAGGGGCACAAGCATATAGTATCTATGATTATGATAGTAATCTATATATCGGCAAACTTATCACCCCCCCTTCCGGTTCCTACGGCCATGATGTGGGTCACAGTCATAAGTGAAAGACATGTACGGGTGTTCATTTATCCTTGTCTTCTTGTCCTGCAATCAGCGCAAGATTGATTTTATTCAACAAAATCTTGCTTAAAAAGGTAACACCCTCAGAAACAATAAGAGCTGTCCCTATATTTTCTTTCCAGTTTTCTTTATGAAATAGTTTTTGTACACAGTGGTGGCGCCGCACCAGGCACCCCTCCCCTTCTCACTGAGAAAAAAAATGAGAGGAGTAGGAAAGTATAAAGCAATTTTCAATTTCTAGATTGATTTCAATTAATAAACAATAAAGAAATTTAAATTCAAGACAACTTATGGGATTAAAGGAGATG